AGAAGTTTGCTTTTTCACACTGCACATATAAGTAAGATAATGGGGTATTTTTCTTTCTGTGTCAAGCCTATTTCACAGAATAGTCTTTGAAAATTGAAGGATACATCATGTCCTCCAGGTTCATCCATGTTGTTGCAAATGACAAAATTTCTCTTTTTGGAGCTGAATAGTGTTCCATTGTATATATATGCCATATTTTCTTTATCCATTCATCTGTTGATGGACACTTAGGTTAATTCTATATCTTGGCTATTGTGAATTATGCTGCAATAAAACATGGGAGTGCAGATATCTTCTCAGCTGGCTCATTTCATAGCCTTTGAATATATACCCAGTAGTGGGACTGCTGGATCATATGGTAGTTCTGTTCTTAAGTTTTTGGGGAGGCTTCCAGACTGTTTTCCATAATGACTATACTAATTTACATTCCCACCAGCAGTGTGTAAGTGTTCTCTTTTCTCTATATCGTCACCAACATTTTATTACCTTCCTGTATTTCTGCTATTCTAACAGATATTAAGTAATATCTCACTGTGGTTTTAATTTGAATTTCCCTGATGATGAATGACATTGAACTTTTTTTTCACATACTTGTTATCATTTATATGTATTCTTTTGAGAAATGTCTATTAAGGTTCTTGGCCCATTTTTAAATTGGGTTATTTGTTTTTCTGCTATGGAATTGTTTGAATTCCTTATATATTTTGGATGTTAACCCCTTATCATTTGTATGGTTCTCAAATATATTCTCCCTTTCCATAGGTTGTCTCTTACTGGGAATTTTATATAGGAAATTTTATGATCAAATTTGCTGTTGTGGGTGAAATGGATTAGAGAGAATAAGTGGGAAAAAGAAATGCCTAGGAACAGAGAGTCATTTCAGAACTACTATAACAATATCAGCAAAAATGGGCAGATCTTGGACTAAGAGTTATGATTATATTTGGCAGGTGTAATAAAGATATGTTAAAGAAGAACTGAGTAGATATTCTGAGATATTCTGATCAATCAGATGTAGCAAATGAGGGACAGACAGGAGCTGACTGAAGTGGATAGGTGAACTGAGTCAGATTAAAGCAGGCCCTATTTAAAAGTCAGAAAAACAGGGACAAAGTATTTTATTCTGGTGAGAGGTAAACGCTAGGCAGGTTCTCAGGGTTCTAGCCAAGTGATCTAGGATTCAGGGAATAACTGTAGTCCTTATAAAAAATTTGAATGTTTTTATCAGTTGAACTGTGTCTCCCAAAATTCTTGTGTTAAAGTCCTAGCCCCCAGCACCTCAGGACTGCATTTGGAGACAGGGTTTTAAAAGAGGTAGTTTAGACAAAATGAGGCTATTAGGATATCATTAGAGTGGGTCCGAATCCAATATAGCTGGTGTCCTTGCAGGAAGACATTAGGACACACAGCCACACACAGAGAAGACCACGTGAAGACACAGGACAAGATGCTATCTACAAGCCAAGAAGAGAAAGAAGCCTCATACAAAAGCATCGTTGTCAACAGTTTTGATCTCAGAATTTTGCAATTGTGAGAAAATGTTTTTGTTGTTTAAGCTACCCAGATTGTGGCACTTTATTATGGCAGTCCTAGCAAATAATACAAATGTCAAGATGGGCCTAAGTCCTTTCAAACCACAGAAGGCACAAGCCATGCCAACTGGGTGCTACATAATACAACTCAGAAAGTAGGCAGAGCCACCAGGAACCCTTGGTTATTGATCTTCTGGCCAATAACTACTTCTCAATCCTATATCTGGTAGAGATGGGGCTTCTAATATTCTTTCAAGTTTGATTCTTATTGACTCAAGTGAAATCTCACTGATTTCAAGTTTGATTCTCATCTGTAGCAGAGCTGAGCTACAGATGAAAAAGTCTTTAATTCTGATGCTAAGAAGAGTCAGACGCAAGCAGGGGCTGACTGACAATCTCAATTTCAAAAAATAACTAACTGGATATCAAACATATAGCACAAAAGAATGTTAGATCTGGTCAGAACTGACTAAAAAAATAATTAAGATATTTGTTTCTACTCGAACATTCCTTTGCCTTTACATGCAAAGAGAAATTCACTGTGGTTCAACTGTTCTTATTAACCTAGATTACTGCAAATTTCTCTGAACTGACCTTTCCATTTCATTATCACCACTCTTAGCCCCCAATAATGAAGAACAAGGGCAGATCACTTTACGCATGAATAGGCACATTGCCATGATTTTCTCATTTGTCTGTATATATTTGCCAAAAAAAGGAATTATCTAGAAATCTTGACTCTTGATCCTAATCTCCTATATCCAATTTCGAAAGGTAGTTTCTTCTTTTGCAATTACTCACACGTTCATCCTTTTATATTTTTATGTATCCCACTTTAGGCTCTTTTCAGATCTTGCCCAAACCAGCACAATAGCCTCCTTACTTTTCTGCTTGCCTTTTAGCTCATTCCTCGTAACCTAAATCCATCCTGCACAAAACTTGTGTAAAACAGCTTTAGAAAATTTTGACCACAACGCTCCTTTCCTGTGTGTTAACCTCCAATAAAGTCTTGTTGCCTATAGCAACACATTCAAACACACCTCTGTCTAACTTTTAAGGCTGTGAGAGTCTAGCCTTTTCTAGCCAATGCATAATTGCCCTAGCTTCCCAAATCCTCAAATGCATTCAAGTGACTTCAAGCATTGTCCACCACATGCTTGCCACAGAGCGCAGTGCTTCCCAACCCTGTGCTTTTGTTCATATGGTTGCATTCCTTAGCCTGCATCTCTGCCATGTTCCACCATGCTCCTTTAAGAACAGTTCAAATCCCAGAAGATTTTGATCTCATTTTTCTCCTAGCACGACGTGCCTTTTTTTCTGTCTGCACATTATGCCCATCTTTCAAGGACAAGCATAACCTGTAACTTATCTTTGAAGTCTTTCCTAACCATTCCAGCATTCAATCTTTTGAGAAAGTCTTCCGTGGGGTCACCAGTGACCAGACATTGAGCTCTTGGGATCACAATTGGGTAAGACTGTTCTTAATTTCCAGGATGATGTCCTCTCCTATTTCCTTGAGTTTCTATTGCAATTACTACCCAAATAATAGTCTACTAATAAGGTGATACCTCAGGAAATCTCTTGTTTTTAATTGCCAATTACATTTGCTTAACTTAAAAAATGATTTATCTTCCCTAGTTAGGTTGTGAAGATTCAGGTTCCCCCCGAAGTATCTAGTTTAACATGGGAGTAGAGAGAGAGATGCTATTATGTATTGGGTATTGGGCTATTATTTTTGCTAGTGCTTCTCCCAGTGTCATATGGCTAGCAGTTCATTTTATGGGACACACAAAACCCAGGATTTTACAGATACTGTTGCTGAGGATAAGGCTAAATAGTGCCTATGTAAGTGTTTTCAAAAAGTGAGTTGATTGAAAAACAAATGTTAAACACTAATGTTTCAAGGGACAGCCATAGCAAAAATGATAGAGGTGGTCCTTTAATGTCTCTCAAATGCATTATATGATGTCACATTTATTCCTCAGAACAACCTTGCAATTTAGAAACCAAAGTCCAGAAAAATGACAGAACTTATTGAAGTCACTAAGATAACAGATCATGCTACAGGCTTCAAGTGAAAAAAGACAGGTCTTTCTGACTGAAGCTCTTCAAACTTTCCCTCTTTACCTTAATGCCCTTTTGTGTATAGAAAGATTTAGTTTAATCTAATGCTTGAAAAGAGGTGTCTGACCTGTGTTTCAATACTCGATATTCTCAAAAAGATTTGCTTTAGCTTTCTAAATGAAATCCTTCGCCTTCAGAACAATAAAAGAGGCACACCAGAGTCATGCTGGTGTATTTCTAAGCACATTTACAAAACATACAAGGAAAAGGACCTGATTCCCCGGCTGGGTGAGTGAAACGTTCATTCTTCACCTTGGCACCTCAACCTACAGCTGTAATAAGGGCCGTTATGCCCAAATAGGCCCTTAAACGGAAGACCTGCTGAGCAGAGACCCACTTTCCCAGCCCCGCTCAACTGCCTCGGCTTTTCTGCCAACTGACCAGGCGGAAGCAGCAGCAGGGGAGGAGGGACTGCAGGTAGGTGGGGAGGGGATCATTCTGAAAGCCCTAAATCCCTTGCAGGGAAGAAGCAGCTGCTCCTTGTTTTTCTAAACATCTGTCCCATCTGTCCCGGGCCGCACCTCACCCTTCGGTGGCTGGAGACAGTTGAACACGAATTTGACAGGAAAGCACTTCTGAAGGCTGGTTTGTGAGTGGAAATGAACCTAAGTGCCACCTAGAAAGTTTCTTCTGCTGAGAAGAGGTCAGTAGCGGGTCTTCGGCGGGACCCCTATTACCTTCCTTCATTTGACTCTCACAAAACATACAGCTTTCACCACAGAGGCAGGATTTGTAACATCCCCCAAATCAGCCTGTACGCCCTGAGGACATTGTTTTACAACGCAGAGGTACTTCCAGAGCCCATTTTAACCTCTAGCAGAGCCGTAGCCTTTGATTTGACGGAGGAATAACGACATCGCACAGCCCACAGCACCTTGACGGAGAACAAGCCGTGCACACCTAGCGTGCGCGGCGTTTATCACAGCTCACGGCGTGCTGCTTTTATCCGTCTCCTCCGCCACACTGCTCTTTGAGAACAGGGACGTTATTTTTCTGGTTATTTGCCTCTCGCATTCAGAACCGTGGCTGGAATGTGGCAGCCATGGAACAGACATTTATGAATGAACGAACGTTATCGAAGAAAAAATAAAGGAACTGAATGATTCACTGGGTTCTCCGAAGGCGGGTATGGGGGGCGGGGCTCGGACTTGGACCCAGTTACCGAGTGAGGCGCAGTCCCAAAGTCCTGCTGCTCCAGCTCCAGTCACCGCAGACTCACGTCAGCAGCCGTTGCCCAGGCCTCACGAAGCGAGGCTGCGCGCGTCGTGCGCGGTCCCGCCCCGAAGGCGCGCAGCCACGCCCCCTTCCCCGGTCCTTCCCTCAGCGGAGTCCGCTCCACTCGCTACAGGATTGGGGCGGGGCCAGGGGAGCGCAGGCGCAACGGGTGGCGGAAGTAAAAACCCGGGAAGGAGGAGGGAAAGGGGCCTGCTGGTGCTTTGCCAAGGGCGCCGCGTTTCTGCTGCGGGAAGCTCCCGGAGGTCGCTTGTGCGTCCGAGCCCAAGCCCCTCCCCTCTACTCCCCTCCCCGCTTGCCCTCGGAGCCGCTAAGCGGCTGCCTTCTTCTCCGTCCGCCGAGATGGCGCTTGACCCCGCAGGTACCGGGCGGGAAGCGGGGTTTGCCGAGGGGCCTCACCCCGGGTCTCACGCCAGGGGCCGTAGGGGTTGGAGGCCGACCTGGGAAAGGTGCAGAGCTCTGGGTGGCACTGCTTCCACCAGCGTCTCCCCACGCCGCTTCACCCGGTCTTACGTCATCTTCTCATCTGTTGGGGGTTATGGTTAGCTGAGGTTGCGTTTGATGTCTAAACTCTCGTCCATTGTGGTTTCCTGGTTAACGCGACTAGACTCTTCATTGTCACCCTCTTTTTCGCCCCTTAAGGACACAGACGCGTTTAATGCGTGGTGCAGACAGTCTGGCCCCAGAAAAATTTGCGTATTCGTTCTAGCTCACAGTTTTACATTTCTGTTTGGGAGTTCATCCTTGTAACCCAACTTAAAAACATATTTCAGAGGATCCAACACTGTGGCAGGAGTCAGGTTTTTCAGAGAGATCTTCAAAGCCTTGCATGTTGTTTTAAATTTCCTTGCTTCCAGCCACTTCCGTTTACAGCAATAGTAATTTCCCTGGATTTCCCATCCTTATGGAAAGTGGTCACCTGCAGTATCTTTGCTTTAGGCTATTGTTTCAAGGGTATAGATAGCATTTTTGGAGGGAATGGTAATTGGTTTAGTACATTTCTACAAAAAGTCAAAACATTGAGAGTTGAAATGGCGTCAAACCTTGGGAGTTTGAAATGGAAAATGCTCTTTCGGAGCCTTCAAGCAGCATGAAAAATAGGTGTAGCATAGAAATAATAAATTGAACACGTCATTACCAAGCTAAATGTTCTCAATTATCCAGCAATAGTATGTGGTGTGGTAGGTCCTTTTATTTCCATTTTATAGATTAGGAAACTGAAGCGAAGAGAAGTGAAGTGACTAGTCCAGGTGGGTAGTGGTGGATCAGGGAGTACTCTAATTCGAAGCATAGGGGAGTTCTGAAACATAATGATCGTATTCATTTTGGACTATGTGATTATGAAGCAGTTAGCAGTTGATCTGGGCTTTGAAGGATAGAATTTCCAGTGGTTGGAGCTGAAGAAGAGGCAGCCCCATGAGCACAGATGTCGATAGTAAAGTGCACTGTGGGATGCTTGGTTTCAGGATGAATACTGTGATTTGGTTCTTGAGAGTAGAAGGGATGTCAGTGACGGGTGGGTAAGGCAGGTTCAGGTTTAGGCCCATATAATTTATGGCATTTCTTATTCTTTGGTTTTTATTTTTTTGTTACTGAGACAGAGTCTCACTCTGTCACCCAGGCTGGAGTGCAGTGGCATGGTCTTGGCTCACTGCAACCTCCACTTCCTGGGTTCAAGCAATTCTCCCACCTCAGCCTCCCCAGTAGCTGGGATTACAGGTGAATGCCACTGCGCTCAGCTAATTTTTGTATTTTTAGTAGAGGTGGGGTCTCACCCTGTTGGCCAGGCTGGTCTGGAGCTCCTGACTTCAAGTGATCCGCCTGCCTCGGCCTCCCAAAGTGCTGGGATCGCAGGTGTGAGCCACTGTACCCAGCCTAATTATGGTATTTCTGAACTTGAAGTGACGGTCAAAGAAATCTCATATAGATGAGGAGACTGAGACCGAGAGAGGTTGAAGATTTCCATATATCTGTAATTTTTGAATTTAGACAAGGAAATTTGGAAAAAAAAAGATCTTCATACTTGCTGTCTTCACTTGCTTACTTTCCAGCTATTCATAAGCCACTCCAATCTTGTGTTGTACCCAATGCCACACAACTAGCTGCTGGTAGAGCCAAGTCTGCATAAAACCTAGGTAATTTCATTTCCAGTCCAGCACTGTAGACCATGCTACCTTTTGAGTATTTATTGATTAAACAAATACTTGTTGAGTGCCTGGCCTATGCCCCATATTATTCTGGGCCGTCGGCAACAGTAGTATATAGGACAAACAAAATCCCTGCTCCCGATCTAGTGGTAGAAAAAGACAATTAGTAGCCCAGTCCCACTCTACACAGATGTGTGTGGGCATGCGCGTGCGCACACACATACACGCACACACTTTCACAGATTGTGATAAAAATGAAGAAAATAAGCAATGTCATGTGGTAGATGGTGAATATATTAGTCACTGAAGAGCTTTATGCGGGAGTGACATCTGTATTGGAAACCGAGGGATGAGAGGAAGCTAGGCAGAGTGTGCAAGGCCATCAGGAAGCAAATACTGAAAATATTTAATTTGAATGTGGGTCGGAGTGTAGAGGGGATCCACGGGGAAAGATATTGGGGAAGTAGGGAAGTAGGTAGTAGGCAAATACCTAGATATTGCAGAGGCTGCAAGGCCTCGAAGGTTGGCTGTGATAATAATAAAGCATTTGGATTTTTTTCTAATGCTATCGGATGCCTTTGGAGTCTTTTAAAGAGGGCAGTAACATAATTTGTGTGTTTATTACCCTGGCTACAGTGGTAGCATGCATTGTAGAGGGATCAGGTCATAAGTGAGAGAAGAGAGACAGGTTAAGAGATGGCAGCAGTAGTTCAGGCCAAATATGTTTGTGTCTTGGCTTAAGATGGTATTAGAAAATGGAAAGAAATATATAGCGTCATGAGGAGAAATTGACAGGACTTGCTGTTGCATTGAATGAGGATGGTGAGAGAAAGGGAGGAAATAGCGGCTGTGCACAGTGGCTCATACCCATAATCCCAGCACTTCGGGAGACTGAGGCAGGCAGATCGCCTGAGCTCAGGAGGTCGAGACCACTCTGGGAAACATGGTAAAACCCCGCCTCAACTGAAATACAAAAAATTAGCCAGGCGTGGTGGTGCGTGCCTGTAGTCCTAGCTACTTGGTAGGCTGAGGCATGAGAATCGCTTGAGCCTGGAAGGCAGAGGTTGCAGTGAACCAAGATTGCACTACTGCACTCCAGCTTGGGCTGCAGAATGAGTGTCTCAAAAAAAGAAAAAAAAAAGAAAGAGAGGAAATAGGGATAATTTTAGTTTTTTACATCAGCAACGGAATGGTTATGGTTGAATCTAACAGTGCGATTATTGGAAACTTCAACAAAGGAAGGAATGGACGCAATGGAAAGTGAAAAAGTAGAATCAGCGAGTAGGAAGATTTTTTTTCCCTAAATTATTCTGTCTAAATTCTAGAATAAAATGCATGGAAACTGGGTTTTTTGTTTGTAATTTTGTGTTTATCTGGTTTATACGTTGAAGCTTAGGTTCACATTTTGATGTTTTTCTGCTTTGTATGGCCCACGATGCTATTTGCCCACATTGGGTAAATGAATAATAGATACACCAAATGAGGTTTATTTAGCAAAATCTGTTTTCCCATTGGTTTATTTTGCATTTTTTGTGATCTTTACAGAATCTTGATTTTCATTTGGCAGCAACTTTTAAGGGTCTGTTTTCCTAAAGAAACTGAAGCCAACAATGAAATGCAGATTATATACTTACACATAGTTTTATTTACACCATTTTTGTTAATGTAGTGGCAAAAACAGCACTCTTAGCTTACTGCCATGTTCCAGACAAATTTTCAGACATGATTATATTCTCAGATGATGGCCCATAGTAAACTGCACCTGATAAATTTGATTTTTGCCTTTCTCTATCAACTAGAAGTATTTCCTTTCTCTCTTCTTTGACTTTTCTCCTTATTAGTAAGATTGTCTTCCCTCTGCCACCATGGATTCATTCTCTACTTATACAGGATGGGGCATGGCACCCTAAGGGAATTTTCTTTAATTAGGTGTATGTGTGTCCCTGTGTCCTTCTATTGCTGTTTTCTTCCAGAAACCTAACAAGAGGAGGAAAATGGGCCAGAGATAGGGTTTAGGGGGTGGAAAGTGGGGTCAGGAATTTCAGGACATTCCATGAGAAGGTGTTTAAAGTATATGTGTCTTCAAGGATTTCCTTATGGATGCGCTGGAGTATTTGGGTGCAGCACTCCAAGTTGCAGTTCTTTTAGTGGTTCCTGTGGGGATGTAGGTAAATTAGCTTTAGGGGTAATGGGCACAGTACTAGCACTTACGTTTACTAGAAAATTTTACTTTTTAAGTTAGACATCAAACTTGAAGAATCGCTTTTGAGCATTGTGTGTTTAATATGTAAAAGGCTATGGAGTTGATTAGAAATTTTTTTGTTGTGTTTTAATTTGTTTTTAGTGATAGGGTTTTGCCATGTTACCCAGGCTGGTCTTCAACTCCTGGGCTCAAGTGCTGTGCGCGCCTTGGTCTCAAAGTGCTGGGTTTATAGGTGTAAGCCACTGTGCCCGGCCAGCTAGAAAAATTTTGATTTTATTATTGCTGCTGTATCTCTAGAGTATCTTAGATGTAAATTACATTGGTGGCACCGAACAAAAGAAAAAAGACTTGTTTAATGTCTACATTTTGTATATTTATAAATTAAAAGTGTATTTGCCATAGAAAATACATTATTTTTGTCTATGTTTTTGACTCACTAGATTAATTTAACAACTCTCTGATGGTTCTCTGTGAAATTTGAAAAAACACTGCCATAAGTGAAGACCATAAGATAGAAGAATTAAGATTAAAGAGGAGTATGTGGCGTAGCAGTGGGGTGGGGTTGGGGATTTCAGTTATGAAGCATAAAATGACCTGTAAACCATTTCAAGGATTTTGAATTTTATACTAAGAACAATGGGAAGATACTGCAAGTTTTTAGGGAAGGGAGTGACAAATAGAATGTTCCTCATTTTCTATTGATCTGACTGTTGTTTAGATTAGGAATAACCTTGATCTCAGCCAAATACTGCATGCATGATGCGTCTTTCTCAGAGTATCCCATCTGGAGGCACATGGTATATGTCTCTCATAGGTGATGTGAGTTTTGATTACCCACTCAAGGTTTTGCCCTGTTTTATTGCCATATTTTCCCTGTTTTGCAATTAATAACTAATCTGTGGGAAGATTAAGACCTTGTAAATATTTGCTTCTCATCAAGTATTTCCCTTTGATTTAGGGTCCATTAATGTTTTTTACTTGATTCAGTCTTTCCATAATGGTTGCAGAATA